CCATTGGTGGGACAGTGCTGTCTTGGACAGCCACATGATCATCCCAAGAAGCAGGGCTGTCTGGTTTGGGGCCTCCATTTCCACAACCAGCCCCGCCCCCTCCCATACAGACAGCTGAGGAGAACAGGAAAGCACTTTCTGTGGAGTTGTTGGGCATCTAGATACATATGGCCTAAGACACTTGAATGTGTGAGCGAAAGCAGGACTTGGCTATGCTGAGGTATCAGGGGGACCTCAAGGGGATTCTCCACTGTCACTTCTCTAGGCACTCACCCCAGCCACAGCCTCAAATTACACCTTTCCTGTCTGAAGCTCCCACCCCCAGACTTTCCCAGGTAATGGACGAACCTGGTTGTTCCATCCTGGTCACAAAGTAACATTTTACAGGAACCCACTGGATGCAAGGATTTAACCCAATGAGTATTGTTCTTGGGGTTCTCGGTGGTCTCTTGATGAGCCAATGAGATGTTTCTTGCAGGAAGCAAAGGCCACTCTGCCTCTGCTGGCCCTAGTTAAGGCCTAGAAGCCCGTCTCTCCTCTAGATCCCCAGCCTATGCATGTTTAGGTCCTCACCTCCCAGGCCAGAGTCCAGCATTTCTCCACAATCAGCCTCTTGAAGCCCTTTTCAAACACCCTCACACCCAAACCCAGACCAGCTTGGCCCTGTACACATACACCAAGGAGATGGTTATACAGGATGCACACACGCGTGCACACACATACACATACACACACAGGGCCCTTTCCTGGCCCCACACACTCTTCCGTTCCCTCTCCCCTTCCCCCAAGAAAGACACTCTAGGGCCAGAAGGTGAAACACATGCTTTATGCCCTGAGGTGATCAGGGAAGCAGGGGCTCAGCACTCACACTGCAATATATAAAAGTGGTCTGTCATTCTCAGCTGAGGATCCTGGCCTCAGGGGAATTAAACCAGTTCCTTAGGTTTCAGAATATTCTTGGTTTGGTTGGTTTGGTTTGGTTGCTCTCAGTCTGGAGAACTAGGTTGTCCTCTTGATTCCCTGTCCCAGTGGTGCACAGAAAGTCAAAGAAGGTCACATGGTAGGGCTGGTCTGAGATAAGCAAAGCATCCAAGGAGCACAGGCTCTTACAACTGGGAAGGCCACAGCAAGCCAGGACCAGATCCAACCCAAGGGCCTCAGGGGTGGCTGGAGGGGACCTCGGTATCCCAGTGAGGCCACTTCACTGGAAGAAGGGCCAGAGTCCAAGTTGGTGCAGTCACTGGTGGCCAGCCAGACCAGCCTCCCTGC